ATATATATATATATATATATATTAGGGATAGTAAGATTCACATTGATGCATCGATTTAAAAGTGTGCATCAGATACAACAAGTTGGCATTTGTATCACATATTTCCATCGGTAAAAAACTATTTATTTATATATAATTATCAGTAGATGCATTGGATCGCATTTAATCTTAATAGGGGTTAGTCGTATCGTATCGCATCGGTAGCTGCTTCATATGTATCTTTATTGTATCGTTTCGTTGGCTATGCATCAGTTATGGAGATGCACATCCCTAATACAGAGAGAGAGAGAGAGATTAGATTTATGTTTTTATTATAATTTACCCTAGGTTTCGATGTCAAATTTGTTGTAATATTCACATTTTGTCCTGGTTTCAGATGTATACCCCTCCCGAGGCGGACTCCACGCGGGAGGACCTGCAGTATTATGAGCACGAGATTGACCCCAAGGATGACTGGATGGTCAAGACCAAGAAGGAATGGTCCGACCTCCTGCGAGCTCCCAGCAACCCCCTGGACCTGGCCGTTCTCCGCTTGACTAATCTGGAGCGGAACGTCGAGCGGCGCTATCTGAAGGAGCCGCTGTGGAATCTGTCCGAGGTGGTGCGCTTGGCGCCTCTCACCCCTCCGCCCGGCGGGGAGGAGGTCCCACTAGATGCTGTGAGGTGGGTCAGAGTTAAGGGTCTTTAAAAAGATGATGCTTTGGAGATTGTTTACCCAAAGTGATCATATTTTTTCAGTCTTCATCAAAAATAAATCATTGTTCCAAATTCTACAGTACATTATTTTGTGTGTCTTTGTAGCTTGGAAAGTGAGATCACACCCAGGTTGAAGACGTGGCGGCAGGCCCTGGACCGCTGCCGCAGTGCGTCTCAACTCTCTCTCTGTCTGCTGCAGCTGGAGAAAGCCATCGCCTGGGAAAGATCCGTCATCAAAGTGGTGAGAGCATACACCCATTCACTCAGCCTCAGAGCCTGTTCCAGCGTTATATATTATATATCATTTCTTATATACATGACAGATATCACTAAAATAGGTGTCTAAGTTATTAAAAGTTTAACGAAAATTACATTTTTAGGGCTATATGAGATGTTTTTTTTTGGTGTTTTACTTTTACCAAAACCTCTGTTTTCCAATTAAATTTTTCCTATAAAATGAAATGCCCTATGAAATGTTTTTGTTTAGTTTTTTCCCCCAGAAATTGTGTTCTGTATTTTATTTTTTTCTGCTAATCAAATGACGGCATACAACAAATTAATTTATCTTTTCATCAAATGAAAATTAAAAAATGCTTTTGGCAGACAAAGTGCTGAAAAGCATGGATGAGAAATTGTGCAATTATTTTTAAAACAATTCAATTGTAATAATTTTATCATCATTATTATTATTATTACATTGAGATGTACATTCTACTGTACAATAGTAATATATTTGTCACAATTTCTTCAAGTTAAACCAAACTTTTTTTTGATTGGTTGCCATGAAGTTTGATAGTTTTTTGGTTAAATGTTCGTGAAGTGACTCTCAGAGCAGCTCTGGAGATGAAGTTGAATGTCTCATATATTGAGAGACAGACGCTGAAACACCGCGAGTGTCACGTGTGTGTGTGTGTGTGTGTGTGTGTAGTAAACGAAACCACACGTCTGCGTCTTTCATTCACACAGAGACACGCAGAACATGCAGGATTCATATTTCAATAGCAGTGTTTTTGTGGTTTAATATTCATAGGCTGTAGTCCATATCACGCTTTGATTTAAGTGTACTAACCTGCTTTTGGTTTATTCATCCAAAATTTGACATATTCTGTGACATTCCACGTTATACAGTAAATTACATTTTTATGACTAGATTTTGCGATTCTGTCCACATTTTCCATAACGCGGAAATCACAGGACCCTAGTTTTGTATAAACTGTTGTTCATGTGTCCACAGACATGTCTGATCTGCCGTAAGGGCGATGATGATGAGTACCTGCTCTTGTGTGACGGCTGTGATCGTGGCTGTCACATGTTCTGCCTGAGGCCAAAGGTCATGCAGGTGCCAGAAGGCGACTGGTTCTGTCCCACCTGCGTTGCCAAGGTAATGTGACCAAGAGGTTTCAAATTTGACAAACAATTTAAGTATCCAGCTTCTGTTTTTGCCCCATCTGATTCATATTATAAGCGTAGGCAAAGAAAAAATATACAATTCAAACATTATAAGAAAAATAAGAAACAGAATTTTGCAGGAAAACGGTGAAGCTCCAAGATCACAGCGTTCATCACGGAAGAGATCGAATGTGCGGAAACGGCGATTTGCAGAGGATAGTTCAGACGAGGATGATGGGTACAGACGAGGCATGACCACACGACAAAAAGACGCTGCAGCTTCCTCGAGCGGGACGAGCATCTCGCCCTCCAAACGCAGACGGATGGCCACACGAAACCAGCCTGACCTCACCTACTGCGAGTGAGTGCAGGCCTGGGAAGAACAGCATTTACAAAATACTAGGAGTGCCACATAAAAAATACAATGACAAATTTAAAGAATAGAATTGAAAAGAAATCGAATTTTAATTAAACATTTATTATTATTATTTATAAACATCTGTTGTCGTGATTTGAAAACTAATTTGTTGGTGCATCTCTGACCAGAGTCGAAATGAATTCACTGCCTGGAATAATTAGTGGCTGTCATGGAATAATTAGCGAGCTGTTTGATGTGCTGTAGGATCATTCTGATGGAAATGGAGGCTCACTCAGACGCCTGGCCTTTTCTGGAGCCGGTCAATCCCCGCCTGGTGCCTGGCTACCGACGCATCATCAAAACCCCCATGGACTTCCTCACTATGAGGGAAAGACTTCTGCAGGGAGGGTAAATAAAGGCTGATCACAATATTACAGCCGTGCTGAGTCATCAGCTGTACTCAGGAATAGTGTTTATTAGTTTAGATCAGGGGTGCCCAAACTCGGTCCTGGAGGGCCGGTGTCCTGCAGAGTTTAGCTCCAACTTGCCTCAACACACCTGACTTCAAGTTTCTAGTATGCCTAGTAAGAGCTTGATTAGCTGCTTCAGGTGTGTTTAATTGGGGTTGGAGCTAAACTCTTCAGGACACCGGCCCTCCAGGACCGAGTTTGGGCAGCCCTGGTTTAGATAAACAAATAATCAATTTCACTTGAGTTTTGCGTTAGAAATTACATTTTTAATCATATTTGTAAATATAACATTTATATTTAAAACTGAAATGTTTATGTAATTATAATTTATAGCTAATATTCAAATTTTCCCACAGTCATTTATAGGATCCAAAATGTCAAATTTACCAGTAATTGGATTTGCCAATGTTTGTTGGTTTTCAAAGAATATATATATATATATATATTAGGGGTGGAAAGGTTCGCGGAAACTCTCGACTCTCTAACCATTAGGCCATGACTTCTCCGACTTAATATTAATCAAACAGCAACAACAAAGAAATCACTCACTGCTCTTGATTGAATAGCTTTTGCAACTTTAATAAAGATTAATCTCTAATTTATAGTCAAATATGCAATGCTGTTTTACATTTCATTACTTTATTCAATTTCTGTACCTAAAAACTAATGTTAGACCTACCTTAAAAAAACTGAAAATCACTGTTTATTTTATTTGTATCTTTACTCTATTGTATATATTTGTGCTGTTGCCTGTAGTTAGATAAATTATTCTTATTTTCTTTATTTTTATTTGACAGTATAGTTTTTGCCTAAACATAGCACATACCGAACCATAACCGTGACTCTAAAACCGTGATACAAAATATATATATGTGACCCTGGACCACAATAAGGGTCAATTTTTCAAAATTGAGATTTATACATCAGCTGAAAGCTGGATAAATAAGCTTTCCATTGATTTGTTAGGATAGGGCAATATTTGGCCGAGATGCAACTATTTGAAAATCTGGAATCTGAGGGTGCAAAAAAACTCAAAATGTGGAGAAAATCGCCTTTAAAGTTGTCCAAATTAATTTCTTAGCAATGCATATTACTAATCAAAAATTAAGTTTTAATATATTTACAGTAAGAAATTTACAAAATATCTTCATGGAACATGATTATACAATGATTTTTGGCATAAAAGAAAAATCAATAATTTTGACCCATACAATGTATTTTTGGCTACAAATATACCCCGGTGTCTTAAGACTGGTTTTGTGCTCCAGGGTCACATATTCCTTGAAAACCAACATACACACATTTATCAATACACATTTACTGTACTGATCACATTTATTAATACAGGTTTAATACATCATTAATGGAGATTAATGCTTTTGATACTTAAAATTATTATTAATTTCAATTATAATTACAATGCTATAATTATAATTACAATGTATGTACATAAGGCAGTTTTTCAATATAACAACTTATTAATCTAAATATAAAATTATTTCTACTTAAGTTCTTTGAAATATAATTTACAAATTGGCAAATTTAAAAAAATAATTTTTTTAATAATAAAAATATTTTTATTTAATTTGAATAATTAACATTTTAAACTCTTGTAAAGATTTAATTATATAAATATATTCATTATATATAAACGTAGTCAGTCCAGAATCTGTTTTATTAAAAATTGATGTTCCATCTTATGTGGGTTTTTAGTTGTTACATATGATGTTTTAACCTGGAAAAATTTCCATTTCTTAATTTTCCATAAACTTGACATTACATTTGGGTGATTGGGCTTTACGGGGGCTGTGAATAACCTGATTAGTAAGTAAAGCTGCATCTGTGTTGACGCCTGTGTGTCTCAGGTACTGCAGCTGTGAGGAGTTTGCTGCCGACGCTCAGCTGGTCTTCAACAACTGCGAGCTCTTCAACGAGGACACGTCGGAGGTGGGCAAGGCCGGACACTCCATGCGGCGCTTCTTCGAGAACCGCTGGGCGGAGTTTTATGAGAACAACGACAAGTAGAGACGCTGCCCTCTGCTGCATGGGAGGAAGCACTCGAACGCCCCGCTCCTTTGATGCTCATTACTACTAAAAACTCTGTCTGGAGAGCCAGCCCTCCAGTCTCTGTATGCATACACGTGTAGATATATGTATAGATTTGTTCTGTTGGTTTTACAAGTATGTTTGTCCCCCTCACCCGCCTTGAAAAGGTTAAAGCATTTCTTTATCACCTGGTATTACGGCGTACAAACGTCTCCTCTTTATTCAGCTTCGTCAGTCACTCCTTCGGAGTAGAAGTACTTCTTCAGGACTTGATCGGGTCACACTTGATGTCACGTGTCGCAGACACACCTCTATCAGGTCGTTCTCACTCTTTCCACCATTATACTCGAAGCCTTCTGCTCCATGGTGTATAGGTCGTGGACCAGGTGTGTCCCCTTGACTGAAAATGTAACGTGCTTTTGAGACTAGAAGCAATTTCCTCAGTATATTTTTTATTATATACTATATATACACTTAAAGACAGAAATAGGGATTATTTAATAGCAATAGACTGTAGTGATTCTGTACAGACCACATCGTAGAGAGATGTATAGGTGACTCATGAAATGGCCAGTAAACATACTATATCACGTGTAACTCATCACGTCTTTTGCTTGTAGAGTATTGGTCTTGTGAACTGGAGGATTGCCATCTTTTGCTAGGTTATTGTTTCTGTCATGCCCCCCCAAACCCAGAAAGAAATAAGTGTTTATTCATAATGTAATGCCAACAGCAGAACCGTTACAACGAAAGGCCCATTTTAACATTCTTGTTTTTAAGCTCTGCTAGCTAGATAGCCGTTTTCAAAGCTTTTGCTTGATGTATGACTATTGTCTGTGGGGGAAAAAAAACTTTAGACTATTGATATTGGTTTATATGGAAAGGATATGTACGTACTTATACGGTTGTATAGTTTTGTTTAGCGACACTTATTTTTCATTGGAACAATATCTTCGCTGTCTCTTCAGTATGATTGATCTGGTTTGCTCTTGGTTTTTTTTCATGAACATGGCAATTTGTTGGGTTTCTGAAACCGTCACATCCTCAGATGTTTAGACTGTTTTATGTGTTTTAATATGTGAGTTTGAACCTGGACCAACTCCCTTAAAAAGGACTTTTTTTTCATTTTTACACTCGTCTTTTGACATTAACCATGCTTTCTCAAATGAAAATGCCTTGCATCTTTACTGGTGTAACTGACCCATACGTTTTCCCCACTTACAACCTCACGTTCACGGTTTTTCTGTGTGCACTGAGTAGAGGAGCGCAGTAGAGCACACTATTCATGTTCGTTTTCCAGGCTTTCGTACACTGAAGTCGATTTGCGGACGTGTGTCATTCACTTTGTGTTCCTCATCATACAAAAGAGACATTAGCTTTTTTTATTTTTTTTATTTTATTTTTTTTTATTAAACAGACGGTAAAACCTGAAGACAGTACTAGAAAACTCAACCAAATGTGGTGTCTAGTGAATTTTTAATAATGTACAGTTTTTGTGACTAAATTTGTTCCTTTCTATATTTTTAGGACCAATATATCGTTTTTAAGAGGCGACATTAAATGACCATTTTCTTTCAAGGTAATGTAACACACGTGCATCTGTAGAATGTACTGTAAGTGGAAATAAAACCACATCTAGTAAACAAACTTGTCTCCTAAATTTTTATAAACTGAATTGTGGCTGGTAATGAAGTTTCATATGTTTAAGCAATAATGCAAGCAAGAATGCTCCAAACATCGGCACTTCCATGATTGCAGGTATGATATTGCCTTTCTACAATTCAACAAAAAAGTTAATATTGAGCAAGTTATATTTTATAGACAATATTGACAATTAGAGTTTGTCTATTTTTCTTCAGCGCCGAAAATATTTCCAACTGAAGTCGATGGAGAATCGTTGAGTCTCCAAGCAACTGAATGAATCGGTGCTTTTGAATGATCTGATTGAGTGAATGATTCAATGACTCATTCATATATTTATTTCGATCCAGAGGAAATAACCCTGTCTGAATACTTCCCTTCTGTATAGTCCAAAGTACATACTTTACCTTTTTTTTCCCCCCCGAACAAACCTATTGAGTGAATGATTCATTGACTCATTCATAGACTTGTTTCCATCTGGAATTAATTACCCTGTGCCTACTTCCCTTGTACATAGTCCATACTTTTTTTTTAATGGTTAAAAAGTTCTTATTCAAACTTGGCACTTAATTATAGCTATTGAAAATAGTTAAAAATTCAAATGCAGTACCTATTCAGACAGTATGTATGCGGAAGCAGCTTTAGTGTTTTGAATGGATGTCAATGGAGGAGACTCCTTTTGTGAGCTTAATGAACTGACATTCTGTCTGCTAATCTTCAATGTGTGCAGAGACATAACATTATACATCAGTTTCTGTGGATATGTGCATTCCTACCAAGACTTATTTAACATGCAACAATGACAAACCGTGGTTCACAGCAAAACTCAAGACAGCTTTGTCAGGCCAAAGAGGATGAATACAGGAGTGGGGACAGAGTCTTGTATAAACAGGCCAGGAACACACTGACAAAGGAGATCAGAGTGGCTAAGAGGAGCTACTTTATAAAGCTGGAAAGCCAGTTTTCTGCAAACGACCCTGATTTAACACAAGACTTAATGATTACAGAGCTGTTGCCCTAACATCTGTTGTCATGAAGCCGTTTGAGGTGTTGGCTTATCTGAAGGACATCACTGGACCCCCTGCAGTTTGCTTATCGAGTAAACAGGTCTGTGGATGATGCAGTCAACATGAGACTGCATTATATCCTACAACATTTTACTTGTGTGAGGATCCTGTTTGTGAACTTCACTTCGACTTTCAATACAATCATCCCAGCACTCCTCCAGACCACACTAACCCAGCTCTCTGTTCCTAGCTCTATCTGCCAGTGGATCACCAGCTTTCTGACAGATAGGCAACAGCTAGTGAGACTGGGGAAATTTATGTCAAACAGCCGCACCATCAGATTCAGCACTGGTGCCCCCCAGGGATATGTGCTCTCCCCACTGCTCTTGTCCCTTTACACCAAAGATTGCACCTCTACTGACCCCTCTGTCAAGTTAAAAGTTTGCAGGCGACACTACAGTCATCGGCCTCATCCAGGACTGTGATGAGTCTGCTTATATAAATGAGGTTGAGCAGCTGGCTGTCTGGTGCAGTCTTAACAACCTGGAGCTGAGCACGCTCAAAACAGTGGAGATGATCGTGGATTTATAAAGTATATTTTATATATTTATTTATTTAGTCATTTAGCAGAAGCTTTTATCCAAAGTGACTTACAAATGAGGACAATAAAAGCAGTCAAAACTAACAAAAGAGCAACAATATATAAGTGCAAATGACAATATATACATACATACATACATATATATACACACACACACACACACACATGTGTGTGTAGTTTCACATATCTTTTTTTTTTATTATTATGTGTTGTTGTCTCTGTGTACTGGAAGCTTTCTGTCACCAGAACATTCCTTGTATGTGCAAACATACTTGCCAATAAAGCTCTTTCTCATTCTGATTCTAAATATAAATCTTTTTTTAGTTACCAATATTTGGAGTTTACAGCGAAAAAAGTCATGGAAAACTGCATTACTCCCGGTATCCAAAAAGCTGCGATTGACTGTTTGACGTTACGATTTCTCGAAAGGCAGAGGAGAAGGTTGGTGAGGAAATCACTGTTTTTATTCTTTTGGAGTGGGGATTTTAGAAAAGTTTCCACACCATTAGCATCATGAGAACAAACCAGGTTTTAGTAATTGTGTCCGGCAGAGTGGGAATGTTCTGTATTGAGTTGAGCAGTGTTTCTCAACCGTGGACCCCTAATGGTCCTTGACGTAAGGCCAGGGGGTCCATATAAAGTATGAATTTTTGTATAAATTTTGTATATTTTGACATGACATGTTCCCATGAAAGAAAAATCCAATATAGCTGATGATATGGCCAAATACTGGACAAGTCAGCTAACTTTAATTATACTTGACTGTATTTGGTCCTCACAAAGACACAAATGATACATAGATGAATCAATTTTGTTCTGGGGGTCCTTGAGGATGGTTCTGAATTGGACTGGGGTCCGGTACGCCAAAAGGTTGAGATTCACTGGTGTAGAGCAGAGTGCTGTGTTGTGTTGGTTGTGCTCTTCATGGCCGCAAGCAGCAGGTGGTCGGAGCGCGTTTGCACGCGTTGTGTCGCACAGCTCCCCGGAGCGCCGGGTGTCTGCAGCACATGGCACAGCTCAGACTGCTGTCTGTCCCAGCTGGGCCTGCTGCTCTCTTTACTTTTACTGGAGACCAGGACGATCCCCTTTTACATATTTGTAACTATTCAATACTATATGCATATGATCTTTTCCACGACATTCTAATTTATTGAGATGCACCTGTAATAATGAAAAGAGTTCATCGACTTAATTTGCTTTAAAGTTGCTTTGCAACGATTTGTATAGTAAAAAGCGCTATACAAATAAACTTGAATTGAATTGAATATTCATTTTTTTATGTTTAGAGTCTTACTGTATTCGTTTCATTTGAATTTAATGCACGAGTTTCACAATTTGAGTTGAATTACTGAAATGAATGATCTTTTCCACGACATTCTAATTTATTGAGATGCACCTGTAATAATGAAAAGATTTCATCGACTTAATTTGCTTTAAAGTTGCTTTGCAACGATTTGTATAGTAAAAAGCGCTATACAAATAAACTTGAATTGAATTGAATTGAATATTCATTTTTTTATGTTTAGAGTCTTACTGTATTTGTTCCATTTGATAATTCACCTTTAGTTGATTTAAGTTTAATGTCTTTGTAATAAATTGATTTTATGGTGATGTTGCATCTGGATTTCAAAAAGATTTATTGAATTGTTTGTTTCGTATCATCGCAAAATGTAAACTAAATTATCGTCCAGCTTTAATCTGTGACATGTGACTATGTGAGACTATGAAGATATTAAGATTATAATATAGGATAAACATTAACATAATGTTATTAAAAACGATTAATTATAATGTTTCGAATGTATGTCTAGTGTCTGTGTAAACGTAAGTAAATGTAAAAACATATTTAAACAGTATGCCATTTCTAACAATTATGGTAGTTGGAAGTTTATTTCAAAATAGTTTGCGTCAAGATATTGTCATTGTATCTTAAATTGAAATGTTTTAACTAGAAAGTTTTGCTCAGTGGGTGTTTTGAGAATGTTTACCTTGCAACATTTTTTTAATAAAAATATTTACTGTATCTAATAAGTCATGTTGTATTTTGATTTTTGATTTTTTACAAAAATACGTAAATGTGATATAAAAAGAAATACATAAACATGGGTGTTTGTGTATTATTCATGTAAATGAGCATAAATGTTCGCTGGCTTTTGAAGATGTTTCATAGTCCTTAAAGCAGTGAATTAGTCACAGGTTTAATGCCAGTTATTTCTTTTCTTTTCTATCTCTTCTGTCGACTCACTCCAGGAGCTGAGGAGCCGTCAGTTCTGGCAGGGGTGGTGAGTTTGCTGGCCAGTCAAGCACACCAACACCATGGTCATTTAACCAACTTTTGGTGCTTTTGGCAGTGTGGGCAGGTGCCAAATCCTGCTGGAAAATGAAATCAGCATCTTCAAAAAGCTGGTCAGCAGAAGGAAGCATGAAGTGCTCCAAAATTTCTTGGTAAATGGGTGCAGTGACGTTGGTTTTCAAAAAACACAATGGACCAACACCAGCAGATGACATTGCACCCCAAATCATCACAGACTGTTGAAACTTAACACTGGACTTCAAGCAACTTGGGCTATGAGCTTCTCCACCCTTCCTCCAGACTCTAGGACCTTGGTTTCCAAATGAAATACAAAACTTGCTCTCATCTGAAAAGAGGACTTTGGACCACTGGGCAACAGTCCAGTTCTTCTTCTCCTTAGCCCAGGTAAGACGCCTCTGACGTTGTTTGTGGTTCAGGAGTGGCTTAACAAGAGGAATACGACAACTGTAGCCAAATTCCTTGACACGTCTGTGTGTTGTGGCTCTTGATGCCTTGGCCCCAGCCTCAGTCCATTCCTTGTGAAGTTCACTCAAATTCTTGAATTGATTTTGCTTGACAATCCTCATAAGGCTGCTGTTCTCTCGGTTGGTTGTGCATCTTTTTCTTTCACACTTTTTCCTTCCACTCAACTTTCTTTTAACATGCTTGGATACAGCACTCTGTGAACAGCCCGCTTCTTTGGCAATGAATGTTTGTGGCTTACCCTCCTTGTGAAGGGTGTCAATGATTGTCTTCTGGACAACTGTCAGATCAGCAGTCTTCCCCATGATTGTGTAGCCTAGTGAACCAAACTGAGAGGCCATTTTGAAGGCTCAGGAAACCTT